CAGAGGACACCTTGCTGTAACAGAGAAATTCGCTACAAACCGTATTTGGTCAGTCCACATCTATCTATGCTGGAATACTGCTGTACACTAACAACCTCATTCAAGGCAGACGAAACTGTAGACCTCAGTCTAATCCTACCATAGTTCAGGCCTATCTAAAGTATACTACCAACACACAGGATACACCCCCTAAGTGCCAACTAACAAGGTACCTATTCACTGCTTTGTGAACAGTGGCAATAGGTGAAAGAAACGTGGTCATACGTCTCGCTTATTCAGTCATACTAACAACGTAGTAGCATTCACATAGTATGACTTTCTTTTCACTGTTACTTTGTTTTCCATCTCAGGAAAGGTGGTGGTGCCCTGATGCTGGTGAAGAGCTCTTGATCCAGGGAATTGGGACTACCGTTGGATCAAGTATGAATACCTCGTGTTTCCCAAATGCTGTATGACCCCCCCTCCCCTCCTCAGTGAATTAGCTCTTCTCGTAAATACAATAAAACCATAATAATAAATGATTCCTATCTTGCAATTGTTCTCAGGTGTGCTGAGGCACTTGACCCTTTACCTGTGTTTGTTTTCCTGGTTTGTGAATTAACATAACCTGTGTGTGTGTGCGCGCGCTTGCATGCGGCGCATTCTTGTTTGCTTTCGTGTGTGTTTGCGTGTTTTCTGAGTATACAAGTTTTTTTTTTGTGGATGTGTATGTATGTATGTACTTATGCATGTCCGCTGCGCATCTTCTCTGAATAAAGTTATGTTTAACTTGGCAAAATTGAGACATTCTGGTACATGATCCCCAGTTAATATATCTTGCCTGATGCTACACTTAACGCAGTTAATATATCTTGCCTGATGCTACACTTAACGCAGTTAATATATCTTGCCTGATGCTACACTTAACGCAGTTAATATATCTTGCCTGATGCTACACTTAACGCAGTTAATATGTCTTGCCTGATGCTACACTTAACGCAGTTAATATATCTTGTCTGATGCTACGCTTAACGCAGTTAATATATCTTGTCTGATGCTACACTTAACGCAGTTAATATATATTGCCTGATGCTACGCTTAACGCAGTTAATATATCTTGTCTGATGCTACACTTAACGCAGTTAATATATCTTGTCTGATGCTACACTTAACGCAGTTAATATATCTTGTCTGATGCTACACTTAACGCAGTTAATATATCTTGTCTGATGCTACACTTAACGCAGTTAATAATATCTTGCCTGATGCTACGCTTAACGCAGTTAATATATCTTGTCTGATGCTACACTTAACGCAGTTAATATATCTTGCCTGATGCTACGCTTAACGCAGTTAATATATCTTGTCTGATGCTACACTTAACGCAGTTAATATATCTTGTCTGATGCTACACTTAACGCAGTTAATATATCTTGTCTGATGCTACACTTAACGCAGTTAATATATCTTGTCTGATGCTACACTTAACGCAGTTAATATATCTTGCCTGATGCTACTACGCTTAACGCAGTTAATATATCTTGTCTGATGCTACACTTAACGCAGTTTAATATATCTTGTCTGATGCTACACATTAACGCAGTTAATATATCTTGTCTGATGCTACACTTAACGCAGTTAATATATCTTGTCTGATGCTACACTTAACGCAGTTAATATATCTTGCCTGATGCAAAACTTAAGTATTCAAAATAAAATTTTAAAAGCGTTTTGTTGTTGATTGATCAGACAGCATAGTAGCCTCGCTCTGTCCAAAGTATGGATATGGGGTACACAAACTAGCCGCTTCTGTCCACAGGATGGATATGGGGTACACAAACTAGCCGCTTCTGTCCACAGGATGGATATGGGGTACACAAACTAGCCGCTTCTGTCCACAGTATGGATATGGGGTACACAAACTAGCCGCTTCTGTCCACAGGATGGATATGGGGTACACAAACTAGCCGCTTCTGTCCACAGGATGGATATGGGGTACACAAACTAGCCGCTTCTGTCCACAGATGGATATGGGGTACACAAACTAGCCGCTTCTGTCCACAGGATGGATATGGGGTACACAAACTAGCCGCTTCTGTCCACAGGATGGATATGGGGTACACAAACTAGCCGCTTCTGTCCACAGGATGGATATGGGGTACACAAACTAGCCGCTTCTGTCCACAGTATGGATATGGGGTACACAAACTAGCCGCTTCTGTCCACAGTATGGATAATGGGTACACAAACTAGCCGCTTCTTCCACAGTATGGATATGGGATACACAAACTAGCCGCTTCTGGTCCCACAGGATGGATATGAGGTACACAAACTACCGCTTCTGTCCACAGTATGGATATGGGGTACACAAACTAGCCGCTTCTGTCCACAGGATGTGATATGGGTTACACAAACTAGCCGTTCTGTCCACCAGGATGGATATGGGAATACACAAACTAGCAAGCTCTGTCCAATGGGATAGTGGATATGAGGTACACAAACTATGCCGCTTCCTGCCCACTCAGTGATGGATATGGGAATACACAAACTAACCGCTTATGTCCACAGAATGGATCAGGGTACACAAACTGACCGCTTCTACCCAGTATGGATATGGGATACACAAACTACCGTTTGTCGCACAGGCATGCGCCATTGAGTACACATACTATGCCGCTTTTCTGTACCACAGTATGGATTTTTTGGGGTACACAAACTAGAGCCGCTACTGTCCACAGATGGATATGTGGTACACAAACTGAGACCGCTTCTGTCCACAGTAATGATATTGGGATACACAAACTAGCCGCTTCTGATCCACAGGAGGATATGAAGTACTACAAACTAGCCGCATTCTGTCCGCAGTTAATGGATATGGGATACACAAACTAACCGTTCTGCTGCCACAGTATGGATAATGGATACACAAACTAGACCGTCTTCTGTCCACTCCAGTATGGATATTGGGATTACACCAAATATATCTTGTCTGATGCTCTCTACCACAGTATGGATATATGTTAGCACAAACGCAGTCATTCTGTCCACAGTATGGAATTATGGGGTTACACAAACTAACCGCTTCTGTGCCACAGAATTAAGATATATGGTGTACACAACACTAGCCGCTTCTGTCCACAGTATGGATATGGGATACACAAACTAGCCGCTTCTGTCCACAGTATGGATATGAGGTACACAAACTAGCCGCTTCTGTCCACAGTATGGATATGAGGTACACAAACTAGCCGCTTCTGTCCACAGTATGGATATGAGGTACACAAACTAGCCGCTTCTGTCCACAGTATGGATATGAGGTACACAAACTAGCCGCTTCTGTCCACAGTATGGATATGGGGTACACAAACTAGCCGCTTCTGTCCACAGTATGGATATGGGGTACACAAACTAGCCGCTTCTGTCCACAGGATGGATATGGGGTACACAAACTAGCCGCTTCTGTCCACAGGATGGATATGAGGTACACAAACTAGCCGCTTCTGTCCACAGTATGGATATGGGGTACACAAACTAGCCGCTTCTGTCCACAGGATGGATATGGGGTACACAAACTAGCCGCTTCTGTCCACAGTATGGATATGGGATACACAAACTAGCCGCTTCTGTCCACAGGATGGATATGGGGTACACAAACTAGCCGCTTCTGTCCACAGGATGGATATGAGGTTCACAAACTAGCCGCTTGGGTAGAATAATCTAACCTTTAGATGGACGCAGTTGCAACCTAAGCGTAAATATATTCTTTAATCTCCAGTGTTTAGACTTAGTATGTTGCAGTGTTCTTCCCAGTTCACCAATTTGTCAAAGGATTAGCCAATTATGGCTAATCAGCTAATTGCCAACTGCATGACAAGTTACCAAACTGGTTTGAGTGAAGAGAGAATGAAGTAAACTAGAACACGGTGTCCTTCACTCAGAACACGGCTATCCTTCACTCAGAACACGCTATCCTTCACTCAGAACACGGCTATCCTTCACTCAGAAACGTACTAGGGTATCCTTCACTCAGAACACTGGTGTCCTTCACTCAGAACACGGCTATCCTTCACTCAGAACACGGCTATCCTTCACTCAGAACACGGCTATCCTTCACTCAGAACACGGCTGTCCTTCACTCAGAACACTGGTGTCCTTCACTCAGAACACAGCTATCCTTCACTCAGAACACTGGTCCTTACACATTCACAGAACACGGCTGTCCTTCACTCAGAACACGGTGTCCTTCACTCAGAACACGGCTATCCTTCACTCAGAACACGGCTGTCCTTCACTCAGAACACAGCTGTCCTTCACTCAGAACACGGCTGTCCTTCACTCAGAACACGGCTGTCCTTCACTCAGAACACGGCTGTCCTTCACTCAGAACACAGCTGTCCTTCACTCAGAACACAGCTGTCCTTCACTCAGAACACGGCTGTCCTTCACTCAGAACACTGGTGTCCTTCACTCAGAACACAGCTGTCCTTCACTCAGAACACTGGTGTCCTTCACTCAGAACACGGCTATCCTTCACTCAGAACACGGCTATCCTTCACTCAGAACACTGGTGTCCTTCACTCAGAACACTGGTGTCCTTCACTCAGAACACGGCTATCCTTCACTCAGAACACGGCTATCCTTCACTCAGAACACGGCTATCCTTCACTCAGAACACGGCTATCCTTCACTCAGAACACTGGTGTCCTTCACTCAAACACGGCTATCCTTCACTCAGACACAGGTGTCCTTCACTCAGAACACGGCTGTCCTTCACTCAGAACACTGGTGTCCTTCACTCAGAACACGGCTATCCTTCACTCAGAACACTGGTGTCCTTCACTCAGAACACGGCTGTCCTTCACTCAGAACACGGCTGTCCTTCACTCATAACACGGCTGTCCTTCACTCAGAACACGGCTGTCCTTCACTCATAACACGGCTGTCCTTCACTCAGAACACGGGTGTCCTTCACTCAGAACACGGCTATCCTTCACTCAGAACACTGGTGTCCTTCACTCAGAACACGGCTATCCTTCACTCAGAACACTGGTGTCCTTCACTCAGAACACGGCTATCCTTCACTCAGAACACGGCTATCCTTCACTCAGAACACTGGTGTCCTTCACTCATAACACGGCTATCCTTCACTCATAACACGGCTATCCTTCACTCATAACACGGCTAATCTTCACTCAGACTCACCCAACCAAGTCATTTTACTTAAGATCACCCAACCAAGTTTCTATTTAACATGAATTTAGCAGCATGGGTGTGTGTGTGTGTCTGTTTGCATCTCTCCGTTCTTTTCTCTCTCTCTCTCTCTCTCTCTCTCTCTCTCTCTCTCTCTCTCTCTCTCTCTCTCTCTCTCTCTCTCTCTCTCTCTCTCTCTCTCTCTCTCTCTCTCTTTATTTTCTTGTTAGTTTGCCAGCGTAAGTGCGTGC